ACACCCCTCTCAACATTCTGCAGCCTGAGAGTGATTTGCTGTCTTACTTTCCCATCTACTAGGTTGATGACACCGTCTTTTACCAGTGTATTTTCTTTGCTGGCTACCCACTTTCCAAGCTGCACCGGCTCATTGATCGTGGACTTCTCATAGGCTATGGCAGCACTCACCAGAGGTTGAATGTCAATTTCAGCCTCACCCATAAAATCATCAGTTGTGAATGTATCTTTGTCATACACCAGCTGAATGTAACCATCCAAATAATAACTTCAGAAATTTTATTGAAAAGCAAGATGCAAAGCACTTAAACATCATAATCAATAGCAAGGGAATTCTTGTGATACAACACTACTGTCTATATTATTAATGATAAATCAAGTGAAAAACAGAGAAACTATTTTCAGAGTATAACTTACCACTTTTAGAGGAGGAATGTGTTCAGGAATTGACAGCATCAGGCTCTCATTCCATACTGGATTTAAGTTGTTTTTTATAACACGTGTCTTCACTGACTGCAACAAATATTCAAGGAGCATTGCATTATGAGTTTATGAAAAAGTTGAATTCATCTCATCCATAACAGCTTGAGTAGAAGAGACTTACTTGGTGACCCAATGCCAGGATGACGTAGGGGTCGCTTGTCATCACATCCCGTACAACTAGGTTGGTTCCTCTAACAACATTCACCTTAACTAATCCAACAAATTCAACCATACCTGCCTATAATGTACACTTGGAGCAGTAAGATACTAGCCATATCAAAAAAAAATTAAAATCTATACAAGAAATTCTAATTAGTCTTATACTTTCCTTGTTTTTGTTTGTCATCAATTAAAAGTTCTGGTTCAAATTTAAAGAAGAATATTTTCCTTTTTGTCAAATCAATTCCTTATTTCCCTTCACAACAATGTGGAAGCATAGAAATTGATCATGACTAGGACCATGAAGTGAAGACTAAAGCCATGCATGGATTTTGCACATGCATATATGCGTATCTAACTCATGCGCTACAATTATGCCGTACCTTCATTTTGATGGGGAAATAATCTATGAGTATATGTGCATGTGCAGGTGATTGTGAATGCATATGTGTTTGAGTAATCAAAGCTCCAATTTACAATTATTTTGTAGTAACAAAAAATTTCAACAAATATAATAATATTCTTTATCAGAGGAATATCTGAAGCATACCTGTCCTTTTAAAAGTTTCTTTTATATATGCATGGTACGTATCAAAGTTCAACATGAACGCATACACTATATTTAGGACAAGTCAGTGCAAATTTGGAGCTTGAAAATCATCAAACTACAAGGAAAGATAAGGAAAACCTCACATATGCCAAAGTCATACAAACATTTAAAAGTTCTGAATGACTAAGCCTTTTGTAGATGTAATTAAAGAAAAAAGAGAAATGTAACTTGACACGTTTTTTCAGAAACAATGTGGATGTTATAGTAGCACATAAGCACCTCACTCCAAAGAGAGTGAGGGTATCAAAGCAATTTAGAAATAACATGATGAAACAAAACACTGATTAAATAGAAAGGCCATTACCATTGGCATTGAGTTGCCCTTCTTCAGAGTCTTATGTTCAGAGTCTTTTCTTCCCCAGCTGTTACGAAATGCCTGCCCAATACGATGTTTCGTTGGTTGTTTTTCATACTGTTTCTTATCTTGGGCAGAATTATTAGTTGAATTGCTAGAAGGTGACTTCTTATGAGAAGGCGGAAAAGGACAGGACATATGTTCATTGGGGTTTAAAAAGTCTAACAGCTCATATTTTCTCCTGAGAATTCAAGAAGTATGGTTTAAATTTTTGATTTAGAATGGTACAGATTTGAATACAGCACTATGAAAAGTTTTGTACTTAGCATTACCTAATAAAATAAAAGCGCTCCTCTATAGAAGAATCTGGTTTTGGTTTTTTGACATTTTCTGGCAAGCAAGCTTCATACTTCTTATTTACAGCAACGTTTCCTCCCATACTCGCCAAGATATCAACTTCTTCATCTGTCCATTCATCTAGCTTCACTGATACAACCTAGCATATTTTCAGATCAGATCAGATCAGAATATCCCAGAGAGAGAGAGAGAGAGA